TCATACTGTATCTATTATCAAATTTTAAGGTGCAATCAACGCCATTTCAAGATGTCCTTGTACACGTAATCTGGTTACTCCATGTGAAATTGTATAGAAGATATGCCCCGGACAAACTTCCTGGATTGAAGGAAGGACGAAAGGAAGGACGGACGGATGGACGGAGTGCAAACATATAGTCACCCACAGGAACCGGTGGGAGAATAATAACTCAAAATACAACACAAAACCAAGAAGAAGGGTTTCGAAACGGTACGCGTTTCTTGCAACACATGTGGCACTCGTCATGCTTGATGCCTTTCAGGGAAAATCATTGTAATTATCTTTTACGAAGCAGTTAATATCATATTTGTCTCATAATTTATTGAGGTATACCTGAAAAGAACAGTATTCAATCTGTATACATTTTTAATTTCCAATACGTATTTGATAATTTGACAATTTGCTGGTTTGTATCGATTTAAGTGCGAAAACAATATAAACAAATCCATGTTTATTTCCGTCGACAACGTATGAAAAAAAAATGAAAGCAAATTTTGCTGATTTTTTTTATCATACGCCAGATGGAAAGTTTATGGAAAAATAAATCTCCGATTCTTTAGAAGTTATATTGGGAAAATGTTCAGCATAAATGTAAATATTCAATTATACATAGCATTAAGGTTTTTTTCTATCATCATTTTAAATATATAATTAATACTGTGATGATAAAATTTAGAGCGGATTGCTGATTATTCCTACTATTTATTTCAGACAAAACACTCTACTAGCTATGGTACAAATGTACGTGATTCATGTATTATGATTTTGATATAAGTTGCATTTGAAATATTTCAATATTCTAAAATGATTCATCCTCTTTATTTTCATATTATATGAAGACTTGCGATAGTGTCAAAATTAATATGAAATCAGTTTTGACTAAAAAAGGTGTTATTCCTATTATACTAACTCTGACACACGATTAACTTACATCAAACATTTATTTCAATATGTTAATTGAAAAACTAAACACTTATTTCCAGTTCTTTTTTGATGAAATTCTATATTGTTGCAGTTGATTTTCTTATAGTTAGGTATATACTCTTCTGTCATAGCATTAATTATATCTAGATTAGTTGATCAATCCCATCATGATGAATTTATCACGAATCAAGATACAAAAGTAATTAAGTTCATCCTAAAAACCCAACATCACATTGACAAGAAAAAATCCCGTTGGAAGATTTGTTCAAGTTCCGTCATTAACATAAGGTGCGGTGTCGCATGGTAACTGAGCTGTAAAGAATGGTATTTCGTTATTGTTGGAACAGTAGTAGCAACAGTGTTGATTAACATAAATTGGTATCGTTATCTATTGGTGTCATTTGAGTGTATTTTGTCGAACGCCAGTAATCATAATCACTTTATCATTGACTGTACCTTGGCACGAAATAAACGATATCATATGGACAACAACGCATCCTGTACGCTATCGGTATACATTAAATACTGTACTATTACTATGCTGCTGATTAGCGTATACAGTAAAAACGTTAGTACAAAATGTAACTTTATTTTTCAATTAACATTATTTTACCTTATTAAATGAAATTCCGTCAATTTTCATATTTTTTGAAAATATAAAAGGTAGGCAAGTTATCAACAGTTATTCCTGTACTGTTGATTCACTATGTTCTGTAACACAATTAAAAAACTGTGATCAAGAAAGGAAAAATTAAATAAATGCGATGTCATATGTTGATATTAAAAATGATTGATACTCCATCATAACAAAAGTCATACGTTTTGTAGTGTTGACCTATGCAGCGCTGATCCTTACTAGAAAACAATCAAAATATTGGCATGAAGAAAAGTCATCAATTTAATCTAAGTGTATCGCTCAAAATTTCCCTAGCCCGACTATGATTATGACACAATAATAAAAATAGTAAAAACTAAAGCTAACATTTGTATCATTTTTAATTGTTGCCTAATGTCTGTGTCATATATATAAAGTGTTTGAATGAGTTCCAAAGAGGGTGTAATTATTAATAATTATTAATTTATCATATAAGAAAATTCAATTAAAGTTTCATGGGTTTTATCTTTGGCTGCTATGAAAACGTCAACATTACAGAAAGTATATACATGTATGTGTAATGCAAGCTACAAGAAGGAGCAGTCCCTTAAGTATCCCATGCATGTCCTCTGCATCTCTTTGTAGGTGAAATACAAAGTTTTAAATATTAGTGGTGGATTTAATCATCTATCATACTGTTCCCTTTTATTTTGTTATTTTTGTTTCGACCGCAGTGAAAAATACCCACCGAAGGAGATAGTTACGTGTTTACATAAACGGTTGTGTTACCTACAATATCCACCGCAGGAGATAGTTACAATGTACGTGTTTACATAAACGGTTGTGTTACCTACTCAAGTCTACATTTGGTGGACACGTTGTTTAAAGCTCTGTTATGATTAATTACACTTTCCCTCAATATCTTCATTTCGGTTTCCCAGTTTGTTATCTTTCTGAATTTAGAGGTTAGGATATGACCATTTCCATAGCCTATTCTGTATCTGTCTGAGACTACCATATCAGCCCGAGGGGCGGAGGCCGGGAGATTATAGTGAGCTTTTTATTGTGTACTGCTCTATAGCATCAAAATCATTTTAAATAACACATAAAATACCATTTTTTTTAATTTTAATACTTCGCATTCTTCTTTGAAATAAAATTCAATGAATAGCAAAATAAATACAGATTATCATGCAGTGTGTAAAGTACACGTTTGCTTCACTCTCTGTCAAATAATTGGGGAAGTACTAGTGCTAGAAGTATATTGGTTGATCTTGCCTATAAACAGCTATCAGTGTCCCACATGCAAACAACCAATATCACCGACACTAATATGACATCACAATATATTTCTGCTTGACATACGTTATTGTTAACTCCTGACATAGTTCAGTTATTTATAAACATTTTCTTCAGGTTGGTAAGTATTGACTAGTACAGTATAAACCCTGTCACCTTCATCAGTCAAATGATCAATGAAGTGTATACACACAAAGGTGTATAATGGTGTTTTTTTTAAAAGTAATGCGACGCAGATACATGTATTGCTACATCTGAAAGACCTATAAGTCACATTAAAATATCCACAGTTATACCTGGAGGACGAACCAATAGCTCATGTCAAGACCTGGCTACTGTATATGAATCTTTACCTGAAGGGAAACCACAAATTTTGCAGGTAGGGCTTCATATATATACCGGCAAGGATTGCCTCTGTCGATGTTTGATTTATACAGATGAACATACATTGGGTAGACTATCTCGTGCTACTAGTTAGTAATGCATTTCAGAAGAGTTCGGCAAAGAAAGTTTGAATGTACAGATATAAAATGACAACAGGCCAATTTAAAATAACAAATGACACTTATCAACTACTTCTCGCGCTTGATGACGTATTCGTTTACTTTTTAGAAGGTATATTCAGTACCAGTTCAATAGAAATTTAAATTTTTGTTATTATTCTGCATATCCGACTGAGTATTATTTCAGGATAACTATATGTATCTCCGATTATTTGTTCTCACGTATTGCTGGATTGATGTCCCCACTTCTATATATTTACTAGACACCTGCTCCCAAGAGAAGATAACTCTGCAATACGCAAAGACGGATTAGCGGCCAAAGCAGAGGCTGCCATTTCCCGCACTCTTGAAGTGGGCTCAGACATAATGGCGGCGACAGGAACACGTGTTGTTACAACAAGCCTACTGTCCCTACGTAGATCCTCGAGATATTCCGGACGGGGAGACTTCATTTTCGACATTTTGTTAAAATCTCGTTCCTATTTAAAATATCTTATTTAGTAACGAGACTTTAATTATATAAGATATCTTACATAGCTATATGAGATATCTTATATATTTTATAAGATATCTTATATAGAAAATTAAATGAGATATCTTATATGTCATATAGGATATCTTATATAGCATCTCATTTAATTTCTATATAAGATATCTCATATAGTATATAAGATATCTTATATATTATATAAGATATCTCATATACTATATAAGATATCTCATATACTATATGAGATATCTTATATACGATATAAGATATCGTATATACGATATAAGATATCTTATATCGTATATCTCATATGCTATATAAGATATCTCAATTTTTTTTTTGAAATACAGGATCGACATTGCTCCTTGAATAAATGTTAAGTTGGCTTGCCATATCGATCACTATTAAGGTATGTAGAATAGCTACCCTGGAATGTAGAAGTTATGGTTCAGAGCATCGACAAAACCTTGCGTTTCTGACCAAAATCTTATATCCACGCGTAAGTTATTCGTACCCATATACCTGCCTATGATCGATTGTACCAGTAATACATCATCCTTTGGGGTATTAGTAGCAACTCTACGATGATACCATACATTTCAGGCAAATGTGAATCTGGTGGTGTTTTCCTTTCGATCTTTCAAGTGGGCTCACTAAAGATTCTATTGTTCATGCTCTGCTTCCGCATATGTACTTGACTAAACGCTGCCTTCGTTGACTTTCGTCATTATGTCATTTCTATAAAGTTAACGTGTTTATACCTGTCCTATTCAATGACGTATATATAAGACGGACCAACACTCAGATCTATATCGATAGACGGGTGTAAAGGTAGGATTGGTGCAAAATAAACTATGAACAAATATGAAAAACAATGCTACCTGACAATTTCAATTTTTTCAAACTAGTTCGGAATAATGCATTTGTTTTTTTTTGAGTAATCATAGTGACACAATAATGATAATTTTCTAAGTGCATCTAAAGCAAACAAATTATGACAAATTTAAAAAAAATGTACTTGTTCTACCTGTTGCATTCACTCTTTTTTCTTATTCAAGTGTTTGAAATGATTGCATGTGTTATATACATATGTCTCTGGGTGTCTAGCGTTAAAAGTTGGAACACTTTGTGAACAGATGTCCAATTGTTAGTTCTCACAGGATACGCCAACATCCAACCGATAACTAGATCCAGTGTTAAAGCCCCATCCATGGAACTCGCAAAGGTCAAGTCGTTTTTCGTCTCCGTGACAGACTTTTTCAGTAATCCAAGTTTGTCCCACTCCTACATTGACAACATCCGAAGGCAAAAGTTTTGCGTCACTGAAAGTTAATGGGCAAATGGATGCATAAATGTAGCAATAGAACTCCTGCACTCGCAATGCCAATGTAACATAACCGGCATTATATACAAATTGTAGTTCATGCGTATAGATATTTCACACGTGACAATTGTGAACTAGAGTAAAATTAAGGAAAACACTTAGCACTATGTGTTTAAAAATATATCTTTCAGATTCAAAATGATCCAATATGGTATATCACAAAAATGTTCAAATGGTATGACAGCCCTGCAAGCGTGTTGAAAAAGATGAATTGCTAGAATGGACACACAGATAGCACCGTGTTACAAAGTGATGGGACTAAATTAACCTTAAAGATTTATATCGCAAAAAATGTCAATTAGACTGACAGCCCAATATGGTACCTATGTGAGGTTACACTGTCCTCACTAGACTGTTCTTACAGAATAGAAATACAAGAATATTCTGAAAGATCTACTGGACTTAGATATATAAATAGAACAGAAAAATAAAAGACACGTGCATATATTAACAGAAACGAAGAGCAGCAATTCATTAGAATATATACTTCACTGAAATGTGTTGATACATTGACAGAATAAGACCTTCATCACCATATTGCGCTGACATCTCTATACTTTGCTAACAGACAAGAAAAGAACCATTCTGTGCTTACAAACGGGCCTTTCTATACTGTGCTTACAGACTGACATTTTTATATTGTTCTTACAGACTGACAGAACTTTACCATGCTAACCGACTGACAGGACTATACTGTTATAACAAACGGACATCTTCATACTTTGCTTACAGATGGACATCTCTATACTGAGGAAACAGACTGACATAACCACACTATGCTTACATACGAATATTTCTTTACTTTGCTTACACACGGAGATCTGTTTTCTTTGCTTACATACGGACATATCTTTACTTTGCTTACAGACAGACATCTCTGTACAGTTCTAACAGACGGACATCTCTATATTGAGGTAACAGACTGACATAACCACACTATGCTTACATACGGATATCTCTTTACTTTGCTTACAGACAGACATCTCTTTACAGTGCTAACAGACAGATATTTCTATTACTGAGGTAACAGACTGACATAACCACACTATGCTTACATACGGAGATCTCTTTACTTTGCTTACATATGAAATCTCTTTACTTTGCTTACAGACGAACATCCTCATACTGTGCTAACAGACGGACATCTCTATACTGAGGTAACGGACTGACATAACCACACTATATATATGCTTACATACGGAGATCTCTTTACTTTGCTTACATACGGACATCTCTTTACTTTCCTTACATACGGACATCTTCATACTGTGCTAACAGACGGACATCTCTATACTGAGGTAACAGACCGACATAACCACACTTTGTTACAGACGGATATCTCTTTACTTTGCGTACAGACGGACATCGTCATACTGTGCTAACAGACGGACATCTCTACACTGAGGTAACTGACTGACATAACCACACTTTGTTACAGACGGATATCTCTTTAATTTGCTTACAGACGGATATCTCTTTACTTTGCTTACAGACGGACATCTCCATACTGAGGTAACAGACATACATAACCACACTATGCTTACAGACGGATATCTCTTTACTTTGCTTACAGACGGATATCTCCATACTGTGCTACCAGACGGACATCTCTACACTGAGGTAACAGACTGACATAACCACACATTGTTACAGACGGATATCTCTTTATTTTCCTTACATACGGACATCTTTTTTATTTTTTCTTAAAGACGGACATCGCCATACTGTGCTAACATACGGACATCTCTATACTGAGGTAACAGACGTACATAACCACACTATGCTTACAGACGAATATCTCTTTACTTTGCTTACAGACGGACAACTCCATACTGTGCTAACAGACGGACATCTCTATACTGAGGCAGCAGACTGACAGAACCTCACTTTGCTTACATACGGATATCTCTTTGCTTACAGACGGATATATCTTTACTTTGCTTAAAGACGGACATCTCCATACTGTGCTAACAGACGGACATCTCTATACTGAGGTAACAGACATACATTACCACACTATGCTTACAGACGGATATCTCTTTACTTTGCTTATAGATGGACATCTCCATACTGTGCTAACAGACAGACATCTCTATACTGAGGTAACAGACTGACAGAACCACACTATGCTTACAGACGGATATCTCTTTAATTTGCTTAAAGACGGACATCTCCATAATGTGCTAACAGACGGACATCTCTGTACTGAGGTAACAGACTGACAGAACCACACTATGCTTTCATACGGATATCTCTTTCCTTTAGACGGATACCTCTTTACTTTGCTTACAGACGGACATCAACATACTGTGCTAACAGACGGACATCTCTATACTGAGGCAACAGACTGACAGAACCACACTTTATTACAGACGGATATCTCTTTACTTTGCTTACAGACGGACATCTCTATGCAGTTCTAACAGACGGCATCTCCATACTGTGCTAACAGACGGACATCTCTATACTGAGGTAACAGACAGACAGAAACACACTTTGTTACAGACGAATATCTCTTTACTTTGCTTACAGACGGACATCTCCATACTGTGCTAACAACCGGATATCTCTTTACTGTGCTAACAGACGGATATCTCTTTACTGTGCTAACAGACGGATATTTCTATACTGAGGTAACAGACTGACAGAACCACACTTTGTTACAGACGGATATCTCTTTACTTTGCTTACATACAGACATCTCTATACAGTTCTAACAGACGGATATTTCTATACTGAGATAAGAGACGGTCATCTCTATACTGTGCTTTCATACTGACAGAACAATAATGTGATATCAAACGGACATCTCTGTAATGTCCATACGCAGTGATCACTATGCTGTGTTTTAAAACGGACTATACTGTGCTACAGTAGCAGACTGGCAGAACTATACCATGCAAATAGATAGACATTTCTATTATGTGCTTTCAGACAGACATAAATACAGAAAACCGTGTTAAAAGACAGCGATGTTATACTGTACTGACAAACTGACAGACCTATATCGTGCTAAATGACAAATATAACTTAACTGGGCTAACAGACTGGCAAAACTATATTGTGCTAAACCAAGGACATTTCTATACTGTGCTATCAGACCGACAAAACTATACTGTGCTCAAACACGGACATCTCTTTATTGTGCTAGCGAATGAACAGGATTAGAACTTATTGATAGAAATTTTAACTTACGTCGAGGAATATCCAAGTTGTCTGCAGACGACTTTGGCAAAATTCAGGATTATGTCAGAACCACACACCGTACCGTATCCAGACCTGCCGTATATTTCCACTCTTCCCTGTAATGCAGAGCTCCCATCTACCAATCGTATGTCTCCATATGGTTCTGTAAACAATATCGTACATCATCTTGTTTTATAGATATCAACAGCAATATCAAGTGACATACAATCATGTATAACAACTAGCATCGATATCTTGTCGGAATTATTTACCAATAGCTTGCCTCCAAGAAAGTTTAATACACGGTTTTTGCTGTAATTGCAAAGTTCGTTCTAGTAATTTCAGGAATGTGTTTGTAAAATTCATCAATATTAAAAAAATCATTATTCCCCTTAGTAATCGGCTAAGGATGACGATGAAGAACACGGATACAATTTGCATTAATAATTGATCACACCTGAGTCAATTGTAGGTTTCAGTTGTTGCAATATATATACAAGCACAATTAATGAAACGAAATATCTTCATTACAATTACTAGTGGTGTGTTCAAATGCGTTACATACATGCAGTGCCAAATTACAGACGGTGTTCAGATGAAAAATTGAACAAAAACCTACATAAACAGCATTGATTGAGTGCTGACTAGCTACCATGAATACAGAAATATTTTTATATAAGAATTTCTGATAAAACACGCTATTCTCTTGTGCTGGTCTTTTGCTGTTAATTTTGTCTGTTTTCATATAGTTGTGCGGTGCATCGGTATCGTATCAATTTTGGCACTCATTTCGTCCTAAATTGTAACATTACAAAACACCGCTATTATTGCTTTTAACCGCACATCTACGATGCATTTACTGATAAGAATAGTCGAGTACAAGTATTCGTTAAATCTGGATCTGAAAACATGTGTAATGTACTGATAGGTAATCCGTGTCGTTAAAGTGAATTTTCCTTAACAACATAATCCATGCTAGCATAAAACATTAAAAAGCATTGACAGAGCATTGTTTGTAAGGAAAACGAATAATTACATAAATAATTCAAATGCCTTCTACCTTGCACTGGGGTAGAACCACAGACCACACCAATATCCTTTTTGTGTCTCCAGTAATACTTGTTACACACACCAGTCGTAGAATAAGAACAGTCGACAAGCTTTGTTTCATGTCCAACACACTTCACATCAGCCATCCAAATATGATCCGGACCCTTACCGTAGAAAGAGCGGTGTAAAGCACGACCGCCACTGGGATAATAATGTAAAACATCGTATGTTATAGTACATACAATATGTATCTAATCTTATCTTTTTTAAATGCACATAACAATTTTTCAAATGTTTAATTAAAAACAATAATTGATACCTTTTTTATGAATATATGTACAATTTACGTATTCGATGAATTATCTTTTCGATAGGCAACATAGAAATACAAATAACGAAAGAAACAATTTATGATTGGTGCCCTGTCAGGGCCTCGAACTCACGAAAGGTTACACCAAATCGCCTTGCCGACAAATACCGGCGACCCTAACCACTACACCACTACGCATTCCCAAACGTCACCAGCAGCCCGATATGATTGAAAACATGACATAATTATCATAGTGGTAAAATCAAACAACGAAAAATTTGAGATAGTATATGACTTATTGTCTGGTAATGGACTGTGATTGCTGTTTCATTAATATACTTTTCTAGCAATGTCGGAATTAAAGGCAACGAATTTGTTGACAGAGAAGCAAAAGATGCGTTAAATCTCGAACAAGGAAATATCAAAGTACCATATACTGATTTTAAACCTATTATTCGTACAGCCATTCAAAATGAATGGCAGCAACGCTTGTTTCTCGAGACCAGCAACAAAAAGTACAACCGAACCTTAAAACATGTGTTCCCAGCCGAATAGATCGTATAGAGGAAGTTGTCCTTTCTCGGCTCCGTAATGGGCATACTTATCCTACTCATTCGTACCTCTTTAAACGAGAAGATCCACCTACTTGCCACGCGCTCATGTGACACTCCATTTACAGTGGAACATTTTTTAATAGAATGTTCAGATTTTAAACACATTCGTGATAATTACTTTTGAGTCCCGGATATTAAAACTATTTTCAGTCCGTGGACTCGAAGGCATTATTTAACTATATAAAAGACATCGGTCTATTCTATAAACTCTGATAGCTTTTATCGCTCCTTGCCCTCTTTAACGTTATGCATATATCACATATTCCATATAATCTATTTTCATTATTTTAACTATTTCCACATACAATGCGAATGCCTTTAAAATATGCATTTTTATCAGTTTTAATCTTCGCTACTCTCATGTTTGTTGAATAAAATAAATAAATAAATCGCCATGGCCCTAAATGACCAGAGTTGTCGATGGGGCGTTAAACACAAACAAACAAACAAACAAAGGCTTTACGATTTACCGTTAAAAATACCAATTAGTACAATGTACCTACCTTGGACTCATCGGGGATGTATTTGGCAAGACAAAAAAAGTTTGAATCCGAATCGTCTAAACTACAGATGAATCAGAGGGGCAGGTGCATATAGGGGTGACATTAAGAGTTGTACCGGTTAAAAATTAAATGAAATAATCTGTAAAATAACTGACCCAAGAAACCCTTGATAACGAGTCATGTCAAATGGGCGTTGTAGTGTCCTAGATCAGTCCTTATCCGTATGAACGGCATCCCTTATAATCACCGGATGTTAGCATGTACATGTTTGAGTCTGCGCAGGGAGTTGGAATAAACCGAGAGCGGTAGTATGGTGTTTCATGTCGTCTGTCACCTCATTATATTTAGTATTGAGCGATTCAGCAAGTACCTAACAGATGTCACAGGCGTATGCAACTTTTTGGACATATTACAGGAAATCTTGAAAATGGTATCTAATTACCTCTGTCCGAGTTGTCTGCAGACCACCGCTGCATTTTCATCGGTCCACGTTTTTCTTTCACACACATTTCCCCAGTGACCACTGATGTATACCTCTACGCGTCCGTTCGTCACATTATCACTTGAACCTACTAGACGGGCACTTCTTGGAATATAAACAGTTCCTTAATACGGCTTTGCCAATACGGTTTCCTTTGAAAACACTTTGTACATTTTGTATTACTGAATGTTTTACTTTCTTTTTCTTTCCAACCTATCACATGTTAACAGATTTAATATCACACCTACTCACTGGTATAAAACAAAATATTTTGCTAAAAACTTTAAGTATCCTGTTTGGGGCCTCAAATGATAATGACCTCTTCACTACTTAAGCTAAATTTGAATGCTTCCGCGTAAAAATGTAGTCCGTTCTTACATAGATGACAACGTATTTCACAGTGTAGATAATATTTTATCTACAACATCAGATACCTAAACTTCAAAACTATACATATAACGACTTAACAGAACATTTATGATGCAGATTGTCAATTTCAAGCAGTTAACGGGCGGATGAGTACATCTTACTGTAAAAATTCCGCGAAATGTCACGTAAACTTTTATATAGCAAAAAACTAAGAAAGGAAACAAGGTCTTGAATGTGTTTGTAACAACAACTATATAAGTGTTAAGGGATACAGACAACAGAAAAATTGATGAAGGCATTGGTCAATGTTATATATGTTGATGTTAAAAGAATCCCGTACCACTGCCAAAAACTGTAACAACGCATTGAAAACTGATTTTGCCGGTTAGAGTATAGCTGTGACAAATTATTAAAACACAATAACTTGCGGAGCAAAATGAACAAAATGTAATCAACAACAGTGTTCTGAGCGTGGAAAGGGCTGGATTCGAACCATGGACTTCCAACTGAGCTACCTGGTCAATCGAAGTATCCAGGCCCAGCTGTGAACAGTTAAATACAAAACGAAATTAAGGGGAGGTAACAGTATATACGTTAAACCACAGTACACTGGAACAGGAATCCAAAGGAGGGGCCGATTAAATCAATAGATGAGAGAGGAAGCTTCTGCCTAGAATAGGTGTTGGTGTCAGTTGTGCAATAGGATAACTGTGGTAAGAGGGGCGATGACAGTATAATATATGTTGATATTGAGGAAGTGGGTCAATATACTTAGTGAAGGAGGCAATATATGTAATAGTGATGTAAACGTTGGGAACGGTCTACCTAGAATTGGTAAGTGAATCCTGTTTTATATGTTGATTAATGTTATTTCGGTCACCTGTTTTATTTTGATATTGTCATAGATTTACCTATTTCTATACAATGTACATGTAATTCATTTTTCATTGTGGTTTATTACCTTCCAGATAACCTGAAATCAAAGACGATAAAACTTGATAAAATGTTTCAGCAAAATACATGTTGATAATGAGGCAGATACCGTTGGTGTCAATGCTGATTTGGAATCAGAGGGAATAACTCCACGCAGAAATAACATTTCGTCACATAAAATTCACCTTTGCGACCGTCCTCGTTCGAATTGTTGCGTATACAAACGGCCCCTCCATCCATCTGTCTGTGGCACTTTGGATCGAAGGTATGCTCGCAGTCGAGCAGCTGAGCCTCTGTTCCTTTGCATCGACTCTGTTCGACAAGAATGCGCCCAGTGCCTGAGCCATACCGTTTATTTCAACATATTTTATTAACATAGAAGAATGTTACACTGTCAAAAGGATTGGACAACATGCTTATAGCCTATATAAGTCCTCTCCATTGATGGTAGGTATATGGACATAATGGATTGAATTTATAATAATAAGATTTTGCTTACTGTCAAAAATTAACATTTGTAAATCTAATTAGATATTTACATAATTAAGAGGTTATTATATAAAATATGGTGTGGGTGGGGGAAGGGGGATAACTCCCATAGAATAGTGTATTAATTAGATTTGGTCTGCAATATACAATGTAGGTAAAATATATATATATATATTGGTTATAGACCGCATATACATGTAGTATACAAGCTTTAATATCAGATTGAAGACCGCACAGTCCTTGTGTTACGTTTAGGTCTTCAACTGAACACTGTACAGGATCCATAGTAAATATTATTGCGGTATAATTCACAGTAATGCATTTGAGTACATATATGGAAAAATTGCAGATCTAAAGTATGTACACTAAAAATTAAAGATATAAGTAGTATGGGAGAATATAAAAGGAAAGCATAACAATATCACGATAACCAGCCAGAGATGCACTCCTGTACGAATGGATGTTGTTTTTATAAATAAGTGTTATTATCTACAAATATATATACAT